GAAATCTTTCCCCTTGAGCTCTCTGAGACTTACTTGGTAAAGCACACCTTTGTAAACAAAGATGAAACACCTTTTCTTCCTACCTAATTGTCCAGAATTCAGAAATTTTCGAGTATTTTTTGCATCGCAATATAATTATTTATTTGCATAAGTTCAGTAAGATTCTGGGGTACCCGGGTGGCTCAGTCACTTGAACATCCAGCTCTTGATTTTGGCTCACATCATGATCCCAGGGTCATGGGATCGAGCTCTGCATTGGCCTCCGTGCTGAGCATGGGCCTGTTTGGGATCCTTCCTCTCTCTCTCTCTCTCTCTCTCTCTCATAAAACAAACAATCAAACAAACAAATAACTATTCCATAAGGATCTGGCCTCCCTGTAACAGGACACAATCTGAAACACTGACTGTACTACCGAGGCTTTGGCTAGCATGTCATCTTTGAGAGAGCTGTATGTATAGACACTGATATGACGAGACAGCTTTGAGGAACTAAGATTGACTTTATGAAGCTAATGCAGCCCCTGAGAAATCAGCCCGCCACTCTGCTCACAGGATTGCTGGCAGTCTTACCACGTGAGTGAGGAAAGCCATCTCCTGGCAGGCCCAGAGTCTCAAGGATATTTGGGGGACCGTAAGAAAGAAGGCATTCACCCAAACTATAGATATTGCAGGTAAAATCTAATGGTGAGCACTTGGCTTAGCTTTCTGGCCTCAGAAGCTTTTAAGAGTTCAGTATGAGATTCTTTCTGAAAAGTTCAAGCAAAGCAGCCTTAAAAAAACTTATTTGGCCAGTCATTATTCTCACTGAACTTATATAAATAATCAGACCACGTTTAAAGCATACTAGTTTTACTGTGATTATATTTAGTAAAAAAAAAAAAAAAAAAAAATGGAGGTAATTGTACAGAGAAAAATTGTGTATGTACCTTTGTAGATAGTAGATTCTAGTCCTGTCCGTTGTCTTTGAGGGGTGGTTATACACCTGTGGAGTGGACTAGATGCTGAATTCTTCTAGTTTCGAGTATCTGACTACAAGTCTCCAAACTAACATTTCTAATTTTCTCCCACCCTTCTGATGTGGAATCACTAAGAACAGAGTCTGCCCTTGAATCCTTTACTCTCCCTGGAAGGGACAAAACAAGTCCTCCTCACTACCCAGATGACAGCCAAACTTCAGGGCCTTAAATCTTGGAGCCACATCTCCCACTTCAAAAGGGTTTCTTTAGACTCTAGGAAGTGCCTGCCAGTTGGAGGGCTCCAAATCACGCTAATGAGGAAGAGAAGTAGCTGACATCAGTGTAGATGGCCTCCACCTAGGACACCAGGTCAAGACTTCCTAGTCTAACTAAACATTAAACCTTTTCTTCCTTTCTTTCTTTCCTTTACTCTGGCATTAGCCTGGGAAGATAACACCATCCTCTGTATCTCCCAGGCCAACGCTCAGGGGGGTGACCTTGCAGACTGCTGGATTTGTCATCAAGAGCTCTGACTTGTTCGTGATGCTAGAAATAGTGTGATCTTGACAGGAGTGGTTTGTGTTCCGACACGACTTATCTTCGTCTGTGGTGGTTATCACCTCCTTGGGCCTTTGGATGCCCAGATAGCTGGCACACGGCTGGGCTGTGCCCCTAGCGGCTCACAGACACCCCACTGGTTGACTCCCCTGAATTTACACTGTTAAGTTAGAAAGGGCCTACCAGGAGGCTTTCATCATTCAGGATTTGCTTCCTTTGGAGGTCCTTGTTTCCCTAGGTAGGACTGGCTGCAAATGAGACTGAGGTCAGGAAAGTCTCCTTAACTCTGGAAAGTACTGTGGAATCTAGCTACCAACAAAGATCCTTAGACTCACTGGCCGAAGTTGTTCTTGCTATTCAGATAGCCCTTGATTGTCTTTAGGCCGAGCAAGAATGCATCTGTGCTCCAGCCAATACCACCTACTCTGCCTGGATTAGCATTTCTGGGGAAGTTAAAGCTCAGTGACATGAGATCACTGAGCAAACCACTTGGCTTAAACAGATCACTCCTTTTATGGGATCCTTTTTTGACTTCTTTGATTTTGGTTGGTTTGGGTCTTGGGCACCACGGCTCTGGAGCGCACTCCAGACATTGGGGATTATCCTGCGTACAGTAATCATAGTCGTCTCCTTGGCACGCTGTGTTCTCTCAAACGCTTTAAATCCATGTTTGTAGCCACTAACCACCAAGCAAATGATCTCCCTAAGACTGGACTGTCAATAAAGGAACAAAGAGAAAAACCAACTAAAAAATTATGAGCCTAAAGTCACGATCTGTGAATACCACAGAGATTCAACAAAATGCACCACGCTCTGTGAGTACCATATAGAACCAGCAAATATTGTGAGAACCACGGCGTGCTGGCTGAGGGCAGCACCGATGCCTCGCAGTGTGGTCCCATCTCTTACTTAAGCTTAGAGTCTGATCAAAAGGAAGACTTGTTAAAAAAGAAACAGTCGGCCTAAAATGGAGTCCCTTGTGCTAAGCCCCACATCAGCAAACCAAAATGTAACACCGACCTCACTGAAATGTAATCTCTCCCAGGAATGTGACCTTAAATCAGTCAGTCTGGGATGACCTGATCAGTACCAGTGAGGTAGTCTGTCTGAGAGGTTCCCTCCTTCCCTCAAAGGAAGGTCACTGCCAGAAACAATCCACTCTTTGCTGGAAGTTTTCTTTTTTCTGCTGTTTTCTGCCTTTAAGTTCTTCCATATTATACAGCTCCTTGGAGTTCCTTTCTCCTTGCCAGACATTGGGATGCTGCCCAATTCATGCATCATTGAGGAAAGCCAAATAGATCTTTCAATCCACCCAGTTGAATTTTTTTTTTTTTTTAATTTTTTAAAATGTTTTATTTATTTCTAGGAGAGAGAGAGAGAGACAGCGTGAGCAGGGGAGGGTCAGAGAGAGAGGGAGTCACAGACTGAAACAGGCTCCAGGCTCTGAGCTGGCAGTCAGCACAGAGCCCGACGCGGGGCTCGAAACCACGAACCGCGAGATCGTGACCTAAGTGAAAGTCGGACGCTCAACCGACTAAGCCACCCAAGCGCCCCGAATTTTGTTTTCTTAACAAGGGACAAACTCAGGGTGGCAGGGCGTCAGTAATAGTGCCCACACTCCTGCCTCCTGGCTCCAGCTCCCTTGGCTAGTCAGAGCTGAAGAAGCCAACATCCACTCCCTGACTGGAGTGAGAGGGTGATGAGGGCTGAGGACAGGCTCAGGTCTCCATCTCACTTCTCCCCCACCAGGGGGCACCATATTGGGCAGTGGCAACCAGTGGCACTGGTTTTCTTGCTGAGGGCAGGCACACGCAAGAAAGCTGGGTGACGAAGAAACGATAGAGCTGGGGACGGCGGCGAGCCTGGCGGGGAACCTGGGATGGGGCAGAGAGAGAGGGCCTCTCCTTACGCGGGGTCTTGGGCCTGTGTCCCTGCCCTTCGCAGCCTGCCCTCTCTTGACCTGCTCTGCATGCTGGCCGGCTGACTCGGAGCCGGCGGCTGTGCCAGCCAGGTGGCCAGGCAGGTACAGGCGTGCCGTGCCCTGCACAGCTTTGCTTCCTTGCATTCCCTTCACCGATGCTCCTCAGCCTCTCTTAAAACGGTTCGAAATTCAAGACGTAAGAAGTCTTTTCTGTGCATACACAACTATGTGAGTGTGTGTGTGTGTGTGTGTGTGTGTGTACACACATACACATGCATTTTTGCCAAATGCTGTCTTTAGCCCTATCATCCCCACCTCCCATGACTGAACTAGATGCTTTCCAAGGCCTGGATCCACCTCCAGCAGACCTCTTCCAGGGTAGAAAGGACGGAGGCTTTTTAATCTTTGGGAGATCCGTCCTCGCAGAGACCCTGTTAGTCTCCAGTCCCGTAAGGCTCCTGACCTGCAGCCAGCGTGCGCCGCATTCCGACCTTGACTCCAGCAAGGGCTTCCACAGCAGCGGCTGTGGTGAGGGAGACGTTGTCCTCTGTTATCACTGAGGTCACGCATCGTGCCTGGAGCTGGCCTGGGGCGGCCTGCCTGTGCTTCTACCTTGGGACGCGTTCATGGTTCCCAGATTAGAGCGGAGCGCAGACGCAACGCTTGGCTCTTCTGCAGCTGCTCTGCGCGCCTGGAGTGTCTTTGGTAAGTCTGTGCCCTTGGTAGGTCTCCTGGGCTTCGTGCTGTCCTGCCACAGGCCGGGCACCTCTAACAGATAAGGGGCGGCTGCGGGGCTCAGGTCATGATCTCACAGTCCGTGGGCTCGAGCCCCGCGTCGGGCTCTGTGCTGACAGCTCGGAGCCTGGAGCTGCTTCCGATTCTGTGTCTCCCTCTCTCTCTGCCCCTCCCCTGCTCACGCTCTGTCTCTCTGTCTGTCTCTCTTTATGTATAAAGAGAAATATAAATATAAATAAATACAAAATAAGTATATAAATTATAATTATAAAATAAAAATAAACTATAAAATAAAAACATTAAAAAATTTTTAATTAAAAAAAAAATAAGAGAAAGATAAGATCAGCAGACCAAGACGCCAGACTAGGCTGGGGACCAACCTAGTAGGCAGGCTGGGTCCTCGCTCCTCTTCTGATTTACCTCCATTGAACTGGTCCCTAGAAGGGACTTCTGTGTCCCTCTAAATGTTGAAACTACTCTCAGAATTGGGGGTCTGTCGTCACGGGAGGGACCTGAGCTGGTGCACGTGTGTGGGATGATACTGCAGAGGCTGCTCGTGCACGGTGAGCATTTGGCGAAAGCTCGCTCCTGGGCCGGGCCTGAGAAAGTCCTCTTGTGCGGCTCGCGTCCATCTCGCCACCAGTGGAACATCCTTGGATTCTGCAAACCAGGGTGCGCCGCTTTTTCATCACATCCTACCGTGCCCCGGCTACAGCCCGGGAGCTGAGGTGTGATGGGTCAGAGTCTGGATTAAACATTAACACAGCTGTCACCTCTGCTCCGAGGAGGCGGTGCTCCGAAGCCAGGCTGCAGAGCCGTCTGCCTCAGACATGGCTCGCTTTGCCCAGGTCCTGGCGGAAATAGGTGACTTTGGTCGCTTCCAGGTACAGCTGGTGATACTGCTGAGTGTCCCCAGCTTCCTGTGTGCTTACTACATGTTTGCCCAGGTCTTCATGACCCAGCACGAGACCCACCACTGCTCCGTGGCCTGGGTCAAGAACCACACTTTGAACCTGAGTGCGGCCGAGCAGCTGGCGCTGAGCGTGCCCCTGGATGCCGCCGGCAAGCCCGAGCCCTGCCTGGTGTTCCGGCCGCCCCCTGACCACGCCAGCCTCGAGGACGTCCTCGGCCGCCACCTCAACGAGACGCAGCCCTGCGAGGCGGGCTGGGAGTACCCTGAAGCCAGGCCCCCGTCCCTGAAGAACGAGGTAGGGCTGCCTCTGCCGTCTGCCCCTTGGGGGCCGGCCGCTTCCTGGGCCCGAGCCTCTGCCCTCAGCGTCTGGGGTGGCTGCTCCTGCGCTGCCCCGAAGCACCCACGGGTGCATGGCCGACCGTTGGTGCGCCTTCTTGTTTCTCTTGGCCGTTCTTCCTGCTTTGCTCTTTGTCCCCGACTCGCCCGCCTACCTTCCCGTCCATATTCTCTCTCCATCTGTCCATTTTTGCCCACCTTTTGCTCTGTCTGTCTGCCTGTCTGCCCAGTTGCCTGCCTTTCTTCCCGGCCCCTCCCGCCTGCCTGCCTTTCTCTCTCTCCAAGGCTCCCATCCGTCTGTCTACTTGCCTTTGTCCTTCAGTCTGTCCCTGCGCATCTCCCTGTGTCCCCACCCACTTGTCTGACCTCCTGCTGGCCTGATGTGGGCTTCCTGCCCTCCAGCCTCTCCCCAGCCCTGCCTGCCTGCCTCCAGGGCGCCGGCGACACCGCACAAAGCAGCACTCGCTCTGCCCAGCTCATTTTCTCAGGAAGGACCCGGGCAGAGAACAGATTCCCACGGCAGCCACCTGACCGAACCAGCTGTGGAAGCGGCCCGGCCCCTCTGCCGCTTCCCAGAAGCTGGGGCCGAGGCGCAGAGAAGGGAGAGGGCTGGTCCAGGGCAGCGCAGCGAGCCGCTCGGGAGGCGGGGCTCCCCTCAGGTCCCCGCCGGAGGGGACGGAGCACATGGCCCGGAGTCCTAGGGGCTGCCTCCAGGGCTCTGCTGCGCGAGCGCCTGTCCCTCTGCTTCCCGCCTGTGCGCAGGGGCCCCGCCACACGCTTCGGGGGCCTCTCTGAGCTGACACCCCAACTTTCTTTCTGATAACCGGCAGCTTCACGTTCAGACTGAAATACGGATGGTCCTAATTTGGGAAGGAGCGAGCACGCGGTCTTGTAGGCCATGTGCCCTTGAGGAGCCGAGTACATTTCTCCTTCTCAGTCTGCCTCCCCGCATCCCCGGGTGCCCGTCCGGTGACAGAAAAAGTAACTCCCGGCCTCGTCCGCACGAACCTCGGAATAGGGAGGGGGTCGACTCTGAGTGACTGACAACAGTGAGGATCTGTCCTGGGGCCAGAGAAGGGGAAAGAACGGGAGGGAAGAGGAAGCAGACATAATAGCCATTTCTAGATCAGGATGCATGGAAACGCTTGGCACGTCAGGAATGCTGACCAACAAAGGCTGGGAAATCGGCAAGAGCTGACCCTTCCGTGGTCTTAGATACGGGGCCGGCCGAGAGCCGGGGGCTCCTTCGCAGAGGCCAAAGGGAGCCGCAGAAGCTTTTGGAACAGGGAGGGAGATGTGGTGTGCGTGCCCGCGGGGCGAACCCGGCAGCACCCTCCGCTCGGGGCATCGGGGTCAGGGAGGCGGCGGCCGGCGCCCCGAGTGGAGCCCTTCTGTCTCGGTTCCGAGTCTCTCGGCACCTCTCCAAGCTTTGGCCTCTGGTTGCACGGTGGGAACGCTAATCCTTTAGGAGGTTAGAATGAGAACTGGAGGAAATAAGGGTCCACAGACTGTAAGCAGGTAGGGGGTGGTGGCCGCTGAGGACGGGCGCACGCCGTGGAAGGCTCCCTTGGATGGGCATCCGTGCCTCAGAGCCCGACAGCCCCGCGTGGCTGAGATGTCTGTCCCCAGCTGTGAGTGACATGAGCACGGGGGCCAGTGCACCCTCCACTGAGCCGACATTCGCTGAGGACTTCCTGTGCGCCAGCCACTGGGCTGAGCGCGTGGCATGCCCTCCCTCCTCCCGCCCTCCTGGGGGACACTAGGTGGTGTATCTTGTCCCCATGTTGTCCACGGGAAGTCAAGACACCGACAGATTGGTTAACAGGCTCAAAGGCACGCGGAGTCTCTCGGTTCAGGGCCAAAGGCTGATGGCAGCAGGCCATAAATAGCATCTAACCACAGAGCTCCTCTGCGGTTGCTAAACCAGAGCCAAACGGACGAGAGCCCAGTGGAGCAAGTCCAGAGCCCTCGGCTTGCCCGCCGCCTCCCAGGCGCAGTTAGTTCACCACGGGCACGTGCTGAAAAGTATCGGTTGTTCTTGAGAACAGAAGTGTGAACACAATGGCGTCTCCGGGAAGGGTTCATTTCTTGCTGAAAGTGATTTTGACGACGGCGATGGGCTAGTGGGCCGGCCCCAGGGATTAGTTCTCGCACTGATCCCTCCAGCCACCGCCCTCTGAGCTTGCACTCGTCTCAGTCCCTGTCTGGAGCAAAAGGGATGTCTGAGCCCCATTGCCATCCAGCAGTGGGACCTCGGATGACCCGCCTAACCTCCCCTCCCTCAGGGGAGTGGGATAAAACTCCAGGACTGGTGTCAGAATTAGAGAACACACGTGCAGCACGTGCCCACACAGAGTGAGCCCTCAAAAGGCGTTAGTGGCTGTGAAGCTACCTCCCTGAGCTGCAGAGGACAGCTTGCCTGGCACGCTCCCTGCACCAACATTCAGGAACGGAACTGAGCTGTGTGCGGGGGGCACAGAACTCCCAGAAGGGCCCATGGACCCGCTGGCGGGGGGTGGGGTGGGTATCCAGTCACACGTGCTGACGGTATGTGCACATGTATCAGATAAATACAGAGTTGTTCAGACATGCATATTTTTTCCACTCACTTTCTCAGTGTCTCTGTCAGTGTCCAGGCGGGTCGCCCCACCCGTGTGTGCGCATGCACGCGAGTGCCCACGCACACGTGCACGACTGTCCATGTTCCTCTGTCCTGATCTCCTTCCGAAAGCAGGGTGTGAGGGCTCCTTGGGATCCTCACTGCCAGGGAGTGATGAGTTTCACGGAGATTTTGCAGCCAGATGGGGACATTTGATGAGATCCAAGTAAGCCACACGGGGGCCCTGGCCATGGGGAAGAGGCCCCGATGGTCAGGAAGCAGTAATTAGTGGCATATTGGGGGTTCCAAATGTTGCATCCTTAGTCTGTCAGCAATTCTAACTGGCACCTCTGGGCCAAAACAGGAACCTAAGGTTTGCACAGTCAGTAATTAGGTCCAAACAACCTAACAAATCATTATGGTCAAACACCTTAGGAGCTGTTTTAAAAAATAATACACATAAACTGAAAGGAAATAGTTTTCATTTTTATTTAAAAAATTTTTTTAATGTTTATTTTTGAGAGACAGAGTGCTAGCGGGGAGGGGCACAGAGAGAGAGGGAGATACAGAATCCAAAGCAGCTCCAGGCTCTAAGCTGTCAGCACAGAGCCGGACGCGGGGCTCGAACTTGCGAACCGCGAGATCATGACCTGAGCCGAAGTCGGGCGCTCAACCAACGGAGCCACCCGGGCGCCCCTAGTTTTCATTTTTAAATAAATCCAAACCCTGCTAATAGGATGTATGTGCCCACTGGTTGCTGCACGACTTCTCAGTCCTTGAACACCGCCGCCCTCATTCCATCCACATGGTGCTTACTTTTTTTCTTTTTTTTTTTTTTTACTCTAAATAATTGCCAAAAATACAAGTTCACGGACACAGGGTGTGGCTGAAAGGGGTGGAGCGCCCTCCGTAGCTGCAGTTCTCATGAGGCCGGGCAGCTGTGGAGAACTGCTGTACTTAGTTCCCTTTAACATTGTGAGCACCGTTCTGTGCCCCCTGAGTGTGCTCTCCGACCCTGGGGTGCCTCCGGCGGCCTCGGGCCTCCGCCCGGAGAGGCGGGTGGTGGCGGGCGGGACGACAAAGCACTTGGCCTTCACCGCCCTAGTTCACATCTGCCTGTGTCCGCCTCAGTTCAACCTGGTTTGTGGTCGGAAGCACCTGAAGGAGACCTCGCAGTCAGTGTTCATGGCTGGGCTCCTCGCTGGGGCTCTGGTCTTCGGGCCCCTGTGTGACTGGTAAGAGCGAGACCCGCTGGCCCCTGACCGCGCATGCTCCCGAGCTCCCCCCAGCCCCTTCCCTGGTGTCCAGCAGAAGGCCCTGTCCCCTGGCCCTCAAACAGAGCTCACAGGGTGGGGCCCGTGTCCTCTGGGAGACGGAGAGCCCAGGGCAGGCCCGGGTGTCCCGCGCCCCCTCCTCCGCCTCTGCTCCCCAGGATCGGCCGCAAGCCCACCCTCCTGGTGCAGCTGCTGCTCTTCGGGCTCATCGGCCTGACCACGGCCTTTGTGCCCAGCTTTGAGCTCTACATGGCCCTGCGCTTTGCCGTGGCCATTGCTGTTGCCGGGTTCTCCTTCAGCAATGTCACCCTACGTGAGCATCCGGGGCCCCCAGCCTTCAGCCACGGGGGGAGGCCTCGGGGTCTGGGCGGGCCCCCTTCCCAGGCTGCCCCGGGGGAGCCTTGTGGGGCCCCCAGGCCACGGGTGGGACCGCGGCCCGGCCTGGCAGGGGAGCGTCTGGGCAACGACGGGAGGGCGCCGCCGGGCCGGGGCTCAGCGTCCCTCCGTATAGTTGCAGAGTGGGTGGGGCCCTCCAGGCGGACTCAGGCCATGGTCCTGGCCCAGTGCGCCTTCTCCGTGGGGCAGATGGCGCTCGCCGGGCTCGCCTACGCCGTCCCAAACTGGAGGTATTTCCAGATAGCGGGCACCGCACCGGCCTTCCTGCTCTTCTTCTACGTGTGGTGAGGAGGCACTGCCCAGGGGCGGGCCGCTGGCCGCGTGGCGGGAGCGCACCTCACATGCACCCGGGGACGTGCCACAGCGCAAGGCTGGGGGGCTCTGTGTGCCCCAACAAGCTGCGAGGGCCCCTGGGGGCAGGAGGGGGGGGCACTGAGGTCACAGCCATGCCTGGCCTGCAGGGCTCTGCCCGAGTCAGCGCGCTGGCTCCTGACCAGAGGGAGGGTAGAGGAGGCCAAGCAAGTGCTCCAGAAGGCGGCCTCGGTCAACAGGCGGAAGGTCTCCCCCGAGCTCCTGAGCCAGGTACCCTCACGGCCCCGCCCGGCCCTGCCCCCGCGCTTGGCCTGCACGCACCTTCTGCCTGTCCCCTCATGGCGCGTCTTCCTCCCAGCTGGTCCCGGAGAAGACAGGCCCCTCAGGGAGCCCCCTGGATCTGTTCAGACACCCCCAGCTCCGGAAGGTGACCCTGATCCTCTTCTATGTCTGGTGAGGGCGCCAGGGCCCCTGCCCCCCTCTGAGGCCCGCGCCAGAGTGAGTCCCGGCTCGGGCGGGCGTGTGTCGGTGGCTGGGACACGGTGGCTGGCCGTGGGGGGCGTCTGTCCCCGGGCAGTGACAGGGACTCCCGGACGCCCCGTAGGTTTGTGGACAGTCTGGGGTACTTCGGCCTGAGCTTCCAGGTCGGTGACTTTGGCCTGGACATCTACCTGACGCAGCTGGTCTTCGGGACGGTGGAGGTCCCCGCCCGCTACTCCAGCATCTTCATGATGCAGTGGCTGGGCCGCAGGCGGAGCCAGATGCTGACTCTGATTCTGGGCGGCCTCATGTGCATCAGCATCATCTTCGTCCCAGCAGGTACGTGGGCTGGCCCTCCCCACCCCCACCGCCCGGCACGAGGGGGCCGGGGTAGGGCGGGGGCTCTCTGACCAGCACCCTCCCCCAGATCTGCCCGTGGTGGTCACCGTGCTGGCCGTGGTGGGCAAGTTCTCCACGGCCGCCGGCTTTACCATCTCCTACGTGTACTCTGCCGAGCTCTTCCCCACCGTCATCCGGTAAGGGCTGCCCGGCACCCCCGCTCCCCTGCCTCACCTGTCCCGTGGCTCACCTAGGAGGCTGGCTCGGGGGCAGCAGCGCCGATGGGGCCTGGGCGGCTAGAAATCTAGCCCGAGTCCCCACGTTACCCCAGGCGTGGAGGACGGATTGTAGAGGTGAGGCCCTGGCCTTGTCCAGACTGGGCCGCGGAGCAAGCCTAGGAAGGAATGGCTCGGGAAGAGGGTCACTCACACAGGGGCAGCGGGGGAGGCGGGAGGGGCAGCCGGGGACCACACACACACAGGCCTGCAGGTGAGAGGCGGGTGGCACACGGCTGGGCGGCCAGCGGTGCCCAGGCAGGAGCGGAGAGCAGGAGGCCGGGTGGGCCCGGGGGCCCGCAGCCCTGCGGGGCCAGCTGAGGGGCTGGGCTCTCGCGATCGGGGCCCGGAGCCGCGCTGGGCGTGCTCAGCCGGTCCCGGCCTTCGCACAGGCAGACGGGCATGGGGCTGGTGGGCATCTTCTCGAGGATCGGGGGCATCCTCACGCCCCTGGTGATGCTGCTGGTCGAGTACCACGCGGCCCTCCCTATGCTCATCTACGGCAGCCTCCCCATCGGGGGAGGCTTACTCTGCGCCCTGCTGCCAGAGACACGTGGCCTGCCCCTGAAGGACACCATTGAGGACCTGGAGCAGGGGCCCCGCCCTCGGTGAGCTGCCGGCTCTCTCCGAAGCCGAGGCCTCCCCCTCAGTGTGTCCTTGCTTAGCGGCCAACATGGGGCCCTCAAGCCACCTCTGCCTGGCTTTGGGCCAGACCGCTTCCTGGGGGAGGGGTGGCGAAGGGCACTGCCATGGGACCGACCCCTGGCCGGGCAGTGATGGCCTCCTGCCCCCGCCAGGCCTCTGGACTCAGCACCTTCAGAAAAGGAGAGAGAGGCTTCAGGAACAACTTCCAGCCCAGGGGTGACCTTCGGGAGGAGCACGTACTTCTGATCGCATCTCCGGAGCCGGCAGGGAGCGGCCCGAACACCCCCTGGAAGTGGCTGGGGGCTGCCCGCAAGCCCCCTCCCTGCCGTCCCGCAGATGGACGCAGCACACCGCTGACCCCCTCCCTGGCCGCCCCGTCCTGAAGTGTCCGGGAGGGCCCCCTCTTCTTGTCTCCCCGCACCACCTTCCTCATCCCAGCCCACCCCCCACCCGTTCAGGGGTCGGGCCTTGAGTGTTTCCTGGGCTTCACTGGTTTTCTGGTAGGCTCTGGTCCCCTCCGTCTGGGGTCCCCCTGCCCTCCAAACACTTAGGCCCAGAACACAGAAGATGGGGAGGGCCTTTCCAAGAATGTGGCAGCAGGAGGAGAGAAAGTTGGAAGCTGTGGCCTGTATCCAGGCTGGTGGGGAAAAGGCTGAGGATGCGAAGGCTGTGGCTCCTTCTAGGGGCTGGCCCAGGCCCCAGGGCCTTTGATCCTGCTGACAGAGGACTCTGTGCTTGACGTCAAACCTTCAGTCTTGCATTCTCTTCAAAGATCCTCCATCCCCTGCCCCGCGTTCAGTTCAGCTCATCCCTGACCTTGCGGCCCAGGGCCCAGCAGTGGGGAGAGGGAGGAGGCTGGGTGCTCCTCTCCTCGCCTCCCTCTCACGTCTGCTGCTTCTGGCTCCTGCAGGGCAAGGGAGGGAGGGGGCCTCGGGCCTGCTGCTGCCTGGGTTCCCTCCCTGCGCGTCCTGGCTGCTAGTGAGGGGACTCCGGCGGGCTCCTGGTCAGCCCCCCGTGGGGACTCATCACTGGACTCCTTGGTGGCGCTCCCAGGACCTCTGCCTCCTCCTTTACCTGACGGGTGTGCTCACACCTGACCTGCGGGGCCCCCTCTTCACTACCTGCCCCCAGCACTGCTCCCCGCACGGCCACTCTTACATGACACCCCTCCTGGCGGGCCCCTCACGTGACCTCCAGCCAGGACGCCTTCCCAGGGCGCCACAGACGCCCTCGCACCAGCACACAGTGGAAAAGAGCTTGCCAGGCCTCTTCCCCACCTTGCCCCCGGCTACCCGCGCAGCAGACAGTGAGGGTCAGCCTCTCCCCACGGGCCCCAGGCCTGCAGAGGCGCCTCCGTCCCTCTCTCCCGCGCCCCTTCCCTTATGGAGGCCGAGGGAGTGCTCCGCGCTACTTTCCCCATCTTTGTGGACCCGCATGCAAGTGTCCAGCACCTCTTTTGAATATGTGACGCTTTATTGATGACGTAACAAAAGGCAAGCTGACACTCCACATTTCCCTCCCCGAAGGTGGGAGCGGGACTCACGGGACGCTTCTCAGACACCCCTGACTGCCGAGAGCAAAGGAAGGAAAGAGGCAGTGGTCGCCTGATAAAGATCACAGTCACGAAGGACATAAAACGCCTTCAGTTTGTAACTGTCTTCGTGATTTACAAGAAGGGCACACACCTGACGATACACCTATAGACTCAATTTCCGGAGCCCTAATGCCACCACCTCCCTCCATAGGATACAAAGCCCCATACGTGGGGCGCCTGGGGGGCTCAGTTAAGTGTCCGACTTCGGCTCAGGTCATGATCTCACGGTTTGTGGGTTCGAGCCCCGCGTCGGGCTCTGTGCTGACAGCTCAGAGCCTGGAGCCTGATTCGAATTCTGTGTCTCCCTCTCTCTCTGCCCCTCCCCTCTGTCTGTCTGTCTCTCTCAAAAATAAACATTTTAAAAATAAAAAACATTAAAATAATTCTAAAAAAAAAAAAAGCCCTATCCAATCAGTCACTCCTCACACTTAGGATACAGCTTTTTCTGCTCACAAGTTCTGTCCTCAGGCTTTAATAAAACCGCCTTTTTTGCCCTGAAAACGTCTCAAAGGATTCTTCCTTGGCTGCTTGCTCTTGGACGCAACCTCCCAATTACATCATTTATTACTTCCAGACTCGGCTTTGGAACGACGGGGAGAAGTCCTACTCAGCTTCCCGACGCGTGCCCGATCCTGGAGTCCCAAGCTCGCGTCGCCCTTCGGGCCCCCGAACGTCTTCCCGGGACGGCGCGGTGCGCGGGCCGCGCCCGCCCGGCCGGGAAAACACCGCGCGTGGGACGTGCAAAGCCGGACGCAAGTGCGAGGAACAAAGCCACGGCCTCGACCTAAGGAGGGCGCAGAGCCGCGGAGCCAGGCCGGCACCAGCGCCCCCGGGGCGCAGGCGTCCCACCTCCGGGCACGCGGGCCTGGGCGGGGCCGCACCCCCGCCAGCGCGAGGCCCCGCCCCTGGCTCCTCATGGGCGGAGCCCTACCCGGAAGTCGCCTCGCCTCCGCCCGCTGAAGGCCCGATTGGAGCACGTGTACGTGCCTCGAGGACACGCAGAGCCCTCAGTGCTTCGGCGCAGGCGCGGCCCGCGGAGACCCAGCCCTGGAAACGCAGAGGCGCCGCACGCGGCAGAGAGGGGGCCGCGGGCGGGGGACTCCGTGGGGTGGGGGCGGTTCGTCCTGGGGCCGAGCGGACGGCGCCGCCCCGCCGCTTCCCCTGCGCCCCTGGGCTCAGAGCCGCGGCGGGAGGAGACCCCTCGCCCTCACTCTTCCTCCCGCCCCCCCCCCCCCGCTGCTGACCCTTCCTGCCTTCCGCTCACGGCCCCGCTCACCCACAACCACCTGCTGCCCGCCGCGCCTCCCCCCGGGCGCCCGCCCCCCACAGAACCACGCGTGCACCTCCGCGGGCCCAGGTCCCCCGCACACACGTCGGCAGAGGACGCGCCTCTCCCGCCCGCCCCCGGCCTCGGCCGCAGCCGCCTCATCCCGCGCGGCCTGTCTGCTCCGTCGTCCCTGCCCTCCTGCCGGCGAGGTGCGGGGGTCCGTTCTCCCCCCCCGGGGCGGGGTCCCGGCAGAGTCGGGTCCGTTCTCCCCCCCCCAGGCGGGGTCCCGGCAGAGTCGGGTCCGTTCTCCCCCCCCCGGGCGGGGTCCCGGCAGAGTCGGGTCCNCCCCCCCCCGGGGCGGGGTCCCGGCAGAGTCGGGTCCGTTCTCCCCCCACCCCGGGGCGGGGTCCCGGCAGAGTCGGGTCCGTTCTCCCCCCACCCCGGGGCGGGGTCCCGGCAGAGCGCTCGCTCTCCCCCCTCTTTTTCTTTAATATTTATTTTTGAGGGAGAGAGAGAGCGAGCACGGGCACTTGAGAGCAGGGGGAGGGGGGGCCGACAGAGGACGAAGCCGCGCATGCGGGGCTGGGCCTCACAGGCCCATGAGCCCGGAGGTCAGGACCTGATTGGGTGCCTCACCGGCCGGGCCGCCCAGGCGCCCCCTCTCCTTCCCTAACGGCCCGCGTCCCGGCCGAGGCCTCCCTTCTGCTGCAGTGAGGGGTCTGCCCCGCGTCCCGAAGTCACCGAGGGCCGGGCCTCAGCTCTGCGTCCACCTCTGTTCCCAGGTCAGAGCCCGGCTCCTCTCCTTCCCGCGCCCCCTGGGGCCTGGGGCGGGGTGGGGGGGTGCCTGGGGGGGGGGTGCGGAGAGGCAGGTGCTCCGGGCCGGGGCAGTGGGCACGTGGAGGTGTCCCCGACCCTGCTTGCCCCGCCCGCTTCTGGGGTCTGGCTGCTGTGCCCGGAGGGAAGGCCGCCCCTCACCCTTCGTCCCCAGCTGAGCACCTCCCTGCCCCATTGTGACGCTCGGGCCCGGCCACCAGTGGGACCCGAGCGCCCCTTCCGAGGGTGTGGCCCGGCTGGGCTGCGGTCCTGTCACCGCGAGGAGGGGGAGGGCGGGGTGGCAGGTGGCAATTATGATGACGCCTGACAGCTGTGCGGCTGGGTTCTCGCACGGGCGTGGGCAGGAGCGGCCAGGACCCCCGCTCGGCCGCGGGGAGGCTGCGGAAGCGGCCGCCGCCCTCCCAGGAGGCGGGGGTTCCCGCCCCGGACGAGCAGCGGCTCCCGGCTTTACCTCCTTTCCCTGGGCCTCGTTTCCTCTGTTGCGTGTTGAGAACCAACCGCCTGAGGCCTGCGCACCTGGCAAGGGGCCTTTGGGAGCAGTTGAGGGAGCAAGTGCGGCGAGCCCTGCAGACTGGCGGAGCCCGGTGGGGGGCACGCGGGGGGGCCCGTAGGGGACGGTGAGTACAGCCGGCGCCGCGGACGCCCGGGCGCGGGGGGAGGGCGGCACTCCGTGCCCGCGACGCCGGCCTGCCTGTCCCCTCCGGCCTCGCGCGCGGCGTTAGCTTCCGGTAGCTGCTGCACAGGTCCCCTTCGCGCAGCGGTCCCCTTATACCTCTGGAGGTCGGAAGGCCAAGAGGGGTCGAGCCAGGCCGAAACCAGCTGTGAGCAGGGCCCCCTTCCTTCCTGGAGGCTCTGGGGGAGACTTCATTTTCTCACCTTTTCCAGCTTTTGCAGGCTGTCCGCACTGCTCTGCTCCTGGCCCCCTTCCGTCTTTAAAGCCAGCAGCGGTCAGGTTGTAATGGATGCAGCTGACGTCTGTTCCTTTTCACTGCTGTACTGTATTCCGCTGTAGAAATATGCCCATTCTTCTGTTGATGGGCCATTTTGCTCTTTCATTTTTTCATATTTGATGTGTGTTGTCATGAACATTTTGGTCTTTGTCTCCTGGATTGTACATAAAAATGTTTCCCCAGAGTGTACTCCCGGAAGTAGAATTGCTGGGTCGTCAAGGACACAAAGCTCAACGGTGTCAGACGGTGCTAGATTGTTCTCCAAAGCGGAGCAGTGAATCATCCTGCCGGAAATGGTGATCCTCTCCAGCACTTGGCATTGCCAGGTTTCCCAAGTCTTCTCAGGCAGAGTAGTGTGACCACCTCATTATGGCCCTGAAGTGCGTTTCCCTCATTATTAAAGAGATTGAACATTTCTTCATATGTTTGTGGGCCACAGGAATTTTCCGTTCTTGAAATGCCTATTCATGTCTTTTGCCCATTTTTCTCTTGACTTTTTATCATTGTTTTTGTAAGGTACTTTATATATTCTTGATTCTAATTTTTTCCCCCAGCAATATGTGTTTGCCAGTATATTCTCTCAGTTGTGGGTTGGTTTTCTATTTTCATATTTTCTTTTTTTTTTTTTTTATTTATTTCTAGGAGAGAGAGAGAAAGCGTGAGCAGGGGAGGGTCAGAGAGAGAGAGGGAGACACAGGCTCCAGGCTCTGAGCTGGCAGTCAGCACAGAGCCCAACGCGGGGCTCGAACCCACGAACCGCGAGATCATGACCTAAGCGAAAGTCGGACGCTCAACCGACTAAGCCACCCAGGCGCCCCTCATATTTTCATTTTTAAGTAGTCAGGTTTATCATTTAGCATAGCTTGTATGTCTTGGCTAAGAAATCCTCATGCGAAAAAATTACATATATATTCCTTATATTTTCTACTAAAAGTTCTGTTTTTGAAATTTAAGTCCCTATTAGGACTGGGACTTTTGTTGTTGGTGTGAGGCAAGAATCCAGTGTTAATTTCTTCCATTTCTGACCCGTTAACGCTCCTCGTTCTCATCCTTCCAAACTTTTGTTAGCATGGATCTATTTCAGGGCTTTAAGTATTACCACCGTGCCTTGAATGAAGGTAACTTTATAAAAAAATTCAGTATCTGGCAGGACGAATCATTCCTCCTTGTTCTTCAGAACTATCTTAGGTATTCATGCCCTTATTCTTCCATAATTTAGAACCATCTTGAAAATTTTCACAAAAAATACCTTCTGTATTTTTTTTTAACTTTTTTTTAAAATGTTTTATTTCTAGGGGAGAGAGAGAGAGAGAGAGAGAGATGGCGTGAGCAGGGGAGGGTCAGAGAGAGAGGGAGTCACAGACTGAAACAGGCTCCAGGCTCTGAGCTGTCAGCACAGAGCCCGACGCGGGGCTCAAACCCACAAACCGCGAGATCATGACCTAAGCGAAAGTCGGACACTCAACCAACTAAGCCACCCAGGCGCCTCTACCTTCTGTATTTTGATTGGAGTTCTACTGAATCTAGAGATCGATATGGGGAAGAGTTGACAACTTTTATTCGTGACCTTAGATATCTGCTTATTCTGCTTTCTCAACTATGTTTAGAAGTTTTGTAATTATTTTACATGCTGGCCTTGCACATACTTTTAACCATTTTTTTAATTTTTATTTTTTTGAGAGAGAGAGTGCAAGCAGGGGAGGGGCAGAAAGAGATGGAGACACAGAATCTGAAGCAGCTTCAGGCTCTGAGCTGTTAGCAAAGAACCTGATGGCGGGGCTCAAACTCACCAGCCGTAAGATCGTGACCTGAGCCAAAGTCGGGCGCTTAACTGACTAAGCCACCCAGGCGCCCCCTAAACCATTTTTTATTGTGGTAAAATACATGTAATATAAAAATCTTTTTATCCTTTTTTTAAGTTTTAGCTTTATTGAGGTATAATTGACATATAAAATTGTAAGATGTTTAAAGTGTACATTGTGGTGCTTTGATCTACGCACACATTGTCTAACGAGTCCTACCTAGTTAGTTAATGTGTCTGTCCCCTCACTGATTTATCTTTTTGTTTGTCAGTGAGAACGTGTAAGTTCTACTCTCTTGGCAAATTTCAATCATACAGTACAGTGACATCAGTTATAGCCATCATGTTAAATCAGGGCTTATTCATCTTATAGTTGAAAATTTGTACCCTTTTTCCCCACCTCGCCCTATTTTTCCCGTCCCCTAGCCACTAGCAACCATTTTTCTACTTGCTGTTTCTCTGAATTTGACTTTTTTTTTTTTAAGATTCCACTTTTAGTGATACCGTACAGCATTTGTCTTCCTCCGTCTGACTTATTTCACTTAGCCTAATGCTCTCAGGGTCCCTCTCTGTAGTTGCAAATGATAGGACTTCCTTCTTTCTCTTGGCTGAATCATATCTGTCTCTCTTTCCATGTATATGTATGTATATATCCATATTTCCGTATATATGCAGATCACATCTTTATCCATTCTTTATCCATTTATCCTAAGTGATAAACTCCTAGGTTGTTTCCCTATCTTGGCTGTTGTGAATAACGTCTCCACGAACATGAGAGTGTAGATTTCCTGCCAAGGTACTGATTTCAGTGCTCTCTTCGGCAGCACATATACTAAAAAAGATAATGATTTTATTTCCTTTGAATATATACACAGGAGTGGAGTTACTGGGTCATACGGTCTTTCTTATTTATTCATTATTTATTTATTTTTGAGGAGAAGCTGTACTGTCTTCCACCGTGGCTGCACCAGTTTTCCTCTTCTCGCCAACCTTGCCAACTGCGGTTACCTTCTGTCTTTGGGATGCGAGCCCTTCTGACCGGTGTAAGGTGGTGTCTCATTGTGTTTTTGATTTGTATTTCCCTGATGAGGAGTGACGGTGAGCACTTTTTCACGTGTCTCTTGACCATTTGTCTTCTTTGGAGAAATGTCTATTCCGTTTCTCCACCCATTTTTAAATTGGATTCTTTGCTTTTTTGCTATTGGATTATAGGAGTTCTTTCATTTTAACCATGTTTAAGGGTCCAGTTCATTGGTCTAAAGTACATTCACACTGTTGTGCAACCTTCACCGCCATCCATTTCCAGAACTCTTTCATCGTTCGCCTGCAGCTCTGTCCGCGTTAAGTAACACTTCCCCGCCCCGACAAACCACTGTTTTGCTTTCTGTCTCTATGAATTTGTCTACTCCAGGTCGTTCATATAAGTGGAATCATACAATATTTGTCCTTTTATTATTGGCTTATTTCATGTAACACAAGATCTCCAAGATCATGTTGAAGCATGTATCAGAATTTTATTTCTTTTTAAGGGAGAATAATATCCCATCATCTATTTTGCTTACCTATTCATCCATCGATGGACACTTGGGTTGTTTCTGAATTTTGACTATTGCCAATACTCTGCTATGAAGATGGGTGTACGTAAACATCCGTTTGAGCCCCTGCTTTCAATTATTTTGGATGTTTACCCAGAAATGGGATTGCTGGATCAAATGGTAACTCTTAATTTTTTGAGGAGCTACCATACTGTTTTTCCCAGTGGCTGCACCATTTACATGCCCATCAGCAGCGCACAAGGGTTCTGATATCCTCTCCTACCAGTACTTGTTTTCTGTTTTCTGAGCCGTCCTAATCGGTGCCTTGCACATATTTTGTTAGATTTGTTCCCAGTTGTATTTTCTTACTATTATAAAGTTTCCTTTCTCAACTAACCTGTTTTTTAAAATCTTGCTTGAAATAACTTTAGTTTTAACAGATTTGCAGAAGTTATACAGAGGGTTCCCTTTTATTTGAAACCCACCTTCACCTAATGTTCGCATCTTATATAACCACAGTGCAATTATCTAAACCAGGAAGAATAGCACTGATACAATATCAGTAACTAGTCTGTAGATCTGAGTTGAGTTTGGCAAGTTGCCCCACTAATGTTCTTTTCCTGGTTTGAGATCCAGTCTAGGAGCTCACACTACAGTTAGTTACTTAGTTATGTTTGTTTATGTACACTGTTTTTACAAATCATCTGAGAGAGCCAGTTTTTGTAATTTCTCCACATGGTGTCACATGTCAGTGACAATAAGTAAACCATTCCTGTTTCTTATTATACTGTCTGCTCCTGGAAGTACACAGTCATTCTAAGAGCAGAGCAAAGTTTAAGATTGGCCCCTACATGCTCCGCTTCCCCCAGCCCATAATTTCAGTCCTTTGGCTAGTTTTTCATTTTATCCATAGGTGATACATCAGACTCATTTGTGAGTTAAAGAATTATTCCATTTGGTCAACATTTCACCTTGTACCACAGACATATTTTTGGGTGATATAGTTAAATTTTAAAAGAAAATGCAGTGGCACCCGGGCGGCTCAGTCAGTTGAACATCGACTCTTGATTTCAGCTCAGGTCATGATGTGGAGCCTGCATAAGACTCTCTCTCCCTTCCCCTCCGTGGCTTGCACTCTCTCTTAAAAAAAAAAAAAAAGTAAAAAAAAAAAAAAAAAAAAAAAAAAAAAAAAGTAAATGCAATCTTTCTGAACTATTTCATTTGTACCAAACTTTTCATTTAAAACGTATATTCTTGGGGCACCTGGGTGGCTTAGTCATTTGAGCGTCCAACTTCGGCTCAGGTCATGATCTCGTGGCTTGTGAGTTCAAAACCCCATGTCGGGCTCTGTGCCTGGAGGCTCAGAGCCTGGAGCTGCTTCAGATTCTGTGTCTCCCACTCTCTCTGCCCCTCCCCAACTTGTGCTCTGTCTCTCAAAAATAAATAAACATTAAAACTTTTTAAAAATTTATATTCTTTATCTCACAATTCTAAAAGGAAAAGGAAATAGTGCTTGAAATATTAACTCTAACTCTTTAAATAAAGAATAACTTTGGATTAAAAACTTTTTCTTGGGGCGCCTGGGTGGCTCAGTCGGTTAAGCCTCTGACTTCGGTTCAGGTCACGATCTCACGGTTCATGGGTTCGAGCCCCGCATCGGGCTCTGTGCTGACAGCTCAGAGCCTGGAGCCTGCTTCAGATTCTGTCTCCCTCTCTCTCTGCCCCTCCCCTGCTCATACTCTCTCCCTCTCTCTCTCTCAGAAATAAATAAAGCATTTAAAAAAAAACACCTTATTCTTGAACAGTTACCTGGACAAACTTCCTTGCCACTGTCTATAACCAGCTTTTATTTAAATAAATATTTTTTAAAATGAGGTTAAGACATTTTGCCGTACAATACACATGGTACAGGATACGAGAATCTTCAGGGAAGCTTATTACACTAAAACAGCATAAGTAGCCAGTTACAGTAAACATTCATGGTCAGATGACAAAAAACATTACTAACATCTATATAGAGGTGCCCACTGATTTTTTTTAATAATATTTTTTATTTCTAAGAGAGAGAGAGAGAGAGCGTGAGCAGGGGAGGGTCAGAGAGAGAGGGAGACACAGACTCTGAAACAGACTCCAGGCTCTGAGCTGGCAGTCAGCACAGAGCCCGACGCAGGGCTCGAACCCACGAACCGCGAGATCATGACCTAAGCGAAAGTCGGACGCTTAACCGACTAAGCCACCCAGGTGCCCCTAGAGGTGCCCACTGATTTAGCAGCATGGACCCCCAGTATGGCCTAAGGAAGACTCTTCCCCTGGAAGTGAAACTGAGGGAAAAAGAAAGAAAGGCAGGCAGGCAGGCAAACTCCTGGGAACACAATTAAGGAAGGGAAAGTTGAGCCATAGGAAGCTAACACAATTAGCAGATGGATGGGCTTCATGATGTAGAAAAGATAATCTAGGGGCACCTGAGTGGCTCAGTCTATTAAGCATCAAACTTCAGGTCTGGATCATGATCTCAGGGTTTATGTGTTCGAGCCCTGCGTTGGGCACTCTGGTTTCAATGCAGAGACCCCTTCCCCTCTCTTTTCAGCTTAATCACATCATCAACATAAAGTTACATAGATTAGTTCTTCTCCATCCCCTTCAACGTTGTTATGTATAATACAGCTACGTTTGCCATTTGGATTTTTGCCTTGTCCTGATTAATTTTGATTGCTTATTTATTTAAGGAGGGGTTGTATGTGAAACATGCTATGGTTCTAAGGGTCAGAATTATACAAAAAGTTATACTTAGATTGGTGATGCAGAGGAAGGGGAACCTTTTGCACTGCTGGTGGGAATGCAAACTGGTGCAGCCACTCTGGATAACAGTATGGAGGTTCCTCAAAAAATTCAAAATAGAGCTTAACCTATGAGCCAGCAATTACACTACCAGCTGATTCATAGGGGCACATGTGCCCCAGTGTTTACAGCAGCGCCATCAATTATAACCAAGTTATATAAAGCCCAAATGTCCCTTGACTGATGAATGAAGAATACACACACACACACACACAGGAATACTACTTGGCAATGAAAACGAATGAAGTCTTGCTATTTGCAACAACGTGGTTGGAGCTGGAGGGTATTATGCTAAGCGAAATAAGTCAGAGAAAGATAAATATCATATGACTTCACTCATATGTGGAATTTAAGAAACAAAACAGATGAACATGGGGGAAGGAAGGGAAAAATAAAAACGGAGAGGGAGGCAAACCCTAAGAGACTTAAATGCAGAGAACAATCTGAGGTGTGTTGGGGGGATGGGCTGCATGGGGGCCGGGCATGAAGGAGGGCGCTTGTTGGGATGAGCACTGGGTGTTCTGTGTAAGTGATGAATCACTAAATTCTGCTCCTGTACCATCAGTACACTGTATGTTAACAAACCTGGATTTTTAAAAAATTTAAATATTTAAAATAAATACATAAATCAATAAACTGGATGCCAGATGGTGGCAAGCTCTCTGGTGAAAAATAAAGCAAACTAAGAAAGATGGGGAAAACATGAAATGAACATGAAATACAATGAACATGAAAATGTTAGTAAACTATAGAAACTACAATTATAAGTTGTTATTAATAATGATAATATCTATTTTCTTTTTGTTAAAAAAAAGCTGTACTCAGGGAAATGTCCCTCTCCCTCCTCCCTCAACTCCCTTCGCCTGCTTCCATCTGCTCCCTCTCATAGATGACCAATCTTGGTCGCTTGCGACTTCCCTGTCGTGAATTTTTTTCCTGAAAATGAGCATGTATCTCTGTTTATTATATAAAGCATAGCATACTATACGTATCCTTGAGCGTATTGTTTTCTTTGCCTATCAGTATGGCCTGGAAATCATTCCATATCAGTTCATAGAAATTTTCCTCATTCTTTTTTACAGCTGCATAATATTGCACTGGGCAGATACACCGTCATTTATTCAGCCGCTGTCCTATGTATGGGCACTTATGTTGTTCCCCACATTTTGCAATGCCGTCATCGCCGCATTGAATAATCTCCCACCTATGTGTTTGCTTACCGTCAGGAGCATATCTTCAGAGTAAATTCCTAGGAGTGGGATTGCCGAGTCAAATCGTAAGTGCATATATAGTTCCATCAAGTGTGTCAGTGGTCTCGAAGGCCACCCCAGTTTCTGTGATTTACTGCGCTCACAGGCCTCAGAAATGGTTATGCTCCCAGCTAAAATTTACTACAGCAAAGAGATACACAGCAAGGCCGGTAAGGGGAAGGACGCGTCCGGTGGGGGCAGAACGACACATGATGTGCTCATTCCCCCAGTGATGAACAGTAGCAGCGGAAGTCTTTTCTGCTGGGAAAACTTCCTTGAGCTTAAAAGTTGAGGGTTCTTACTGGGGGTTGGTCACATAGGCACACAGCACCTTCAAGATTGACCACAGTTACTGAAACTTCATTACTCATTTTCAGGCCTGAGGAAGGAAGGAGAGGTTCCTCATAAGGCACAAATCACACAGACAGGCCGGTACAGTGGGGTTCAAGTTTTCAAGCGTGCAAAATACTCTTATCAGTTTGTAGCCCAGGGCTCAAGTGAGCCCAGAGGCCAGCTGAGGACCAGTCACACACGCAGTTTCTATGAGAACATGCGAGATTTAAGCACCTCAGGTGCCCAGGTTAACTTTCCGGCACATTAGGTGTTGCCTAATCGTCCTGCAGAAAATTTGTGCCAATTTGCATTCCCATCAGCAACAAGAATTTGTTTTCTCACGGCCTCACCAACAAATGTGTTGTCACGATTTTTAATTTTTGCCAATCTGAGAGGTAAAAAATGTTATTCTGGTACTGTTATAATTTGCATTTCTCTAATTTCAAGTGAATTTGAAATGGTATCTTTTTACAAATTTAATGGTTTGGGGTTTACAGACCTGTAATTGACTTTTTAAAAAGTATTTATTGATTTTGAGAGAGGGAAAGAAGCAGAGAGAGAAAGAGGCAGAGAGAGAATCCCAAGCAGGCTTCATGCTGTCAGCACAGAGCCCAACCCAGGACTTAATCTCACCAACTATGAGATCCTGACCTGAGCCAAAACCAAGAGTCAGACTCTTAACCAACTGAGCCACTGAGGCACCCCATGTAATTGACTTTCATTTTTTTTAATGTTTATTTTTGAGAGAGAGAGAGAGAGACAGAGCATGAGTAGGGGAGGGGCAGAGAGACACACACACACAGAAACTGAAGCAGCTCCAGGCTGAGCCGTCAGCACAGAGCCCGATGCGGGGCCTGAACTCATGAACTGCAAGATCATGACCTGAGCCCAAGTTGGACACTCAACGGACTGAGCCACCCAGGCATTCCCAGTAATTGACTTTCATATATTCACATTATACTCAGCTAGCTTGCTAATTTCTCCTTTCATTTCTAATCATTTGGTAGATTCTTTGGGGTATTATTTTCTTCTTTCCACTCTTTATGCTTTCCTTTTATTTTTAAAGTAATTCTAAAGCTTTACCTTTAGGATATTTTTGGGAAGGGGGTAGATTCTCTTTATTGGATTAAAAAACATCCAGTTTTTGTCTAGGATTTTTATAAAATTATGAATTAGCATTAAAATTTTATCAAATGCATTTTCTGTGTCTCTAAACATGATCATGTGACTTTTCTCTTTTATTCTATTAAGCATAATTATTTATGTATTTTCTAATAGTCAAACCATCTTTGCATTCCTAGTTTAAGTTTTTGTTTTTTTTAACATTTATTTATTTTTGAAAGATTGAGACAGACACAGGCAGGCGAGGGGTGTAGAGAGAGGGAGACACAGAATCCAAAGCAGGCTCCAGGCTCTGAGCTGTCAATGCAGAGCCCAACGTGGGACTCAAACCCACAAACTGCGAGAACATGACCCAAGCTAAAGTCGGACGTTTAACCAACTGAGCCACCCAGGCGCCTCCTGACTCTTGATTTCAGCTCAGGTCATGATCTCACAGTTTAATAGGTTTGAGCCCCACATCCGGCTCTGTGCTGACAGTGTGGACCCTGCTTGGGATTCTCTCTCCCTCTATCTGCCCCTCCCCCACGTTCACTGTCTCTGTCTCTCAAAAAAAAAAAAAAAAAAAAAAACCAACTTTAAACATAGATTTTACACCCTTTACAAAAATGAACCCAAAGTGGATCATAGGCCTAAATGTAAAACACAAAACTATAAATCATCTAGAAGAAAACAAAGAAGAAAATCTAGGTGATCTTAGGTTTGGAAATGAATTTTTTTTTATTTTTTTTATTTTTTATTTCTAGGAGACAGAGAGAGAGAGAGACAGCATGAGCAGGGGAGGGTCAGAGAGAGAGGGAGTCACAGACTGAAACAGGCTCCAGGCTCTGAGCTGGCAGTCAGCACAGAGCCCGACGCGGGGCTCGAACCCACGAACTGCGAGATCATGACCTAAGCGAAAGTCGGACGCTTAACCGACTAAGCCACCCAGGTGCCCCTGGAAATGAATTTTTTAAAAAGATTTTTAAGTTCCTTTATTTTGAGAGAGAGCACAAGTGGGGTAGGGGCAGAGAGAGAAGAGAGAGAAAGAATCCCAAGCAGGCTCCACACTGTGTCAGCACAGAGCCCAACACGGGGCTCAAATTCACGAACCCTGAGATCACGACCTGAGCTTAAATCAGGAGTCCAACACGTAACCAAATAAACCACCCAGATGCCCCAGCAGTGAATTTCTAGGTACAATACTTAAAACATAATCTATGAAAAAAAGTTGGTAAGTTGGAGTTTATTAAAATTAAAAACTTTGGCTTTTCAAAAGATACTGTTAAGAGAATAAAAAGGCAAGCCACAGACTGGAGACGATATTTGCAAAACACATATCTAATAAAAAGACTTGTATCCAAAATATACAAAAAAAAATCATAACAATAAGAAAACAAATATCCCAATTTAAAAATGAGCAAACAGTCTGAAGTGGTGATCCCCTAAAGAAGATATACAGAGGACAAACTAACATGAAAAGATATACAACATTATTTGTCAGAAGGGAATCACAGTTTAAAGGAACTGAAGAATGGTATAACACGACACATCTATCCGAGTGGCTAAAATCCAAAAAACTGACAACACCAATTTCTGGCAAGGGTGCAGACAAACAAGCGTTCCCGTTCCTTGCTGGTGGGAGTGTGCAAAATGGTACAGCCACTTTGGAAGATAGTTTGGCAGTTTCTAACAAAACTAAACATAGTTTTTACCATATGATCCAGCCACCCGTGTTCTTAGGTATTTACCCAACCGATCTGGAAACTATATTCACACAAAAACCTCCGTGCAAATATTTATAGCAGCTTTATTCACAATTGCCAAACACTGGAAACGACAAGATGTCCTTCAATAAGTGAATGGTGAAACAAATGGTGGTAAGTAGATACAGCAGAATATAACTCTGTGATAAAAAAAAAAAAAAAAAGCTATCAAGCCATGAAAATTTATGGATCACCCTTAAAGTGCATATTGCTAAGTGAAAGAAGCCAGTTGGAAACGCTATATACTTTATGATTCTACCTATATGACATTCTGGAAAGGCAAGATACACAGTAAAAAGGTCAGTGGCTGCCAGGAGTGGGAGGGAGGGAAAAGGGTTTAATAGGTGGAACACAGAAATACTTTTTCAGACAGTGAAACTTCTGTATGATACTCTGTGGTGTCATGGTGGATTTGTGACCCTATACATTTGTCAAACCCCATAGGACTTTAAAGAGCAAAGAGTGAACCTTACATATGCAAATTAAATAAAATCACTACGGAGACCAGGGGGTCTCAGAATAGAAGGCGACTCTGACAAATAACTACAACTGTATTACAAATGTATGAAAAATATACAGGAATTCTTTTTTTTTTTTAAGAGAGAGAGACAGAGACAGAGAGAGAGCCCCAGCATATGCATGGGCGAGAGAGGGGCGGAGGGCGAGGGAGAGAATATCTTAAGCAGGCTCCATGCCCAGTGCAGTCTGATGTGGGGCCCATTCCCACGACCCTGGGATCATGAGCTGAGCTGAAATCAGCAGTCAGATGTTTGGGGGCGTCTGGGTGGCCCAGCTGGTTAAGTGTCTGACTTCTGCTCAGGTCATGATCTCATAGTTTGTGGATTCAAGCCCTGCATCGAGCTCTGTGCTGACAGCTCAAAGCTTGGAGCCTGCTTTGAATTCTGTGTCCCCTTCTCTCTCCGTTCCTCCCCCACTCATGCTGTGTCTCTCTCTCTCTCCCTCTCTCTCGAAAATAAATATAAACATTTAAAAATTTTTAAGAAAAGAAAGTTTGCAGGATATTTTGGCTCTGATTGTCCCCTTCCTGACATGTATTATTGTTGCCCATCATTTTACCTTTGTTTTTAATTCCACAAATGGATAGGATCTTTATTACTTAATGCAGCCAATATTTGGATTTGCTTACACATTTACTTTTTTGATTGCTCTGAGCCTATCCTCTTGAAATAGTTTTCCTCCTTATTCTTTAGAAACTCCATTAAATCAGGTCTTTTACATGAATGCTCCCTCAATTTTTGACTGGCTATAACTGTCTTTATTTTACCCCATTCTTTTTTTTTTTTTTAATGTTTTATTTATTTCTAGATATCTCTATTTTGAGAGATAGAGAGAGAGAGACAGCGTGAGCAGGGGAGGGTCAGAGAGAGAGGGAGTCACAGACTCTGAAACAGGCTCCAGGCTCTGAGCTGGCAACCAGCACAGAGCCCGACGCGGGGCTCGAACCCACGAACCGCGAGATCATGACCTAAGCGAAAGTCAGACGCTCAACCGACTAAGCCACCCAGGCGCCCCATATTTTACCCCATTCTTGACAGATAATTTTGATGAGTAAACAATTCTCGATTGGCTATTATTTTCTTTTTTCTAAAGACTTTAACTCTCTTCTGGTTCCCTTGCTGCTGGTTCCCTGGTTCCCACTTTTGTTTAATAGAAGACTACTGACAGAAGTGATCTGTCTTCTGTCTGGATGTTTCTGAAGACCTTTGTCCCTGATGTTCTGTAGCTTCATTGCAATGTGCATAGCCATGGCTTTCTTTTTTTATGGATCTTGCTTGGGACAGGATCCTGTGCCTACAGGACTCTATTTCCTGAGTCTACAGATTCATGTTTTCCGAGTTTTAGAAAAAGGCATTGCTTTTCTGTCTTTAGATTTTGCTTCCCTATTTCTGCTACGGGCCTCCCCCCTCCATGCCTGGTAAACCTGTGCCTCTGGAGTCGGCCTCTGGTTCACATTTCAGCTCTACATTCCAGCTCCCTAACTCCTTGTGTCAAACCTGACTCCGCTCTCTCTCTCTCAGTGTTTCCATTTCAGTTACAAGTTCAGTGTCTTCCCTCCAAGTGTCTGGTTTCTGTCATTCCTGGTCGTCAGCTCATCTTGCAATTACGACTTTCATTCTTTTTTTTTTAATGTTTTATTTCTGAGAGAGAGAGAGAGAGAGAGCATGAACAGGGGAGGGTCAGAGAGAGAAGGAGACACAGAATCCAACACAGGCTCCAGGCTCTGAGCTGTCAGCACAGGGCCCAACATGGGGCTTGAACCCACGAACTGTGAGATCATGACCTGAGCCGAAGTCGGACGCTTCACCGACTGAGCCCCCCAGGCGCCCCAATGACTTTCATTCTTTGACAAGCCTGTATGACGGTGGTTCTGGGCGGCGTACCTGACCGTTCGGACATGTGCGGCCGAGAGCCGTTGTCTCCGTGGACTCTCAGAATGGACTGTCTTCTCACGACTCATGATCTTTCCTTCTGAACTCGTTGCTTGATTGTAATCTGTGCAGGCTTCCCAGAGGAGGCTTGCTTCTGCTTCTGCAGGCGCCCAACCCAGGACCTCCTTCAGCTCCGCCGAGGGTTTCAGCTGAAAACAGGTTTAAACATCGTTTCCCACCTTGCTGCCGTTCCAAGGTAACAGATATCCTCACAGTCAGAATCGCTGCCTCCACCCCCCACCCCCCGCCTTCCCCTACCTGCCCTTCTAGCTTCGCTCTACGCTGCTGTGCGCCCCTCCGCCCAGGCCTGGCCCCTCTCTCTGTGGTCGACACTTCCAGCCACCCCCCTTGGCCTCAGTTTCCCGGCAACTCTTGGTCCAGATACTGGGGGAGGGAGGGGTTGCTTGTCTGTCTATCTGTTTTTGGAGGAGTTGTCCCCGGAGACCCCTCCTACCTTTGCAAGGCGGCAAGTGCCTCCGTGTGTGTGAACAAGGTTTCAGCTCTGGGGAAGCTGTGGGAGACAAAAGCTTCTCCGAACTTACCCACGACCACAGGGCAGAGCACTTTCTAAAACATGTTTTTTTAAAAACTCAGTGTATGGAAAATCTGGGATGGGTGGGCTCGTGGGGGATAAAGGATGTTTGCTAAGAAACTTCATAAGCAAAGGAGGGAGCTACAGAGAACACCAAGGCTGGAACCCAAACTGCGGCGAGACAGAGAGGCCCGTTTCTGGTCGGTGGCTCCCAGTCCAGTCTCTGATGTCTGCCAGGTGGCGGCGGCAGACCCCGAGCGGTGTCCTTTCTTTGAACAGATGTTGCGAGAAAGCAGCTGCAGGGTGAAGCACAGACCCCCCCACCTTCCCAAGGAATTGAACAAGCCTACGGCACGAGAGCGCTCCGATTCCTGGTCTCTGGAGAGGCTGTTGCGCAGACTGAGGGCCATGGAAGCCAACCAGGATGACAAGCTGGCCCGCGTCCTGCGTGCGCTGGGGGAGTTCGGCGCGTTCCAGCGGAGGCTGGTGGTCCTCATCCTCATCCCAAACATCCTGCTGGCCTTCCTCACCTTTGCTGACTTCTTCGTGTTCACAGCCCAGAGGCCCTACTGCAATACCAGCTGGATATTAGCGGTGGGGCCCAACCTCACAGAGGCTGAGCAGATGAATCTGACCCTGCCTCGAGGGCCCGATGGAAGTTTCCAGACATGCCTCATGTACCTGCCGGTAGCCTGGGACCTGGATTCTATCATCCGGTTTGGCCTCAACTACACGAAGTCCTGCCAAGATGGGTGGATCTATCCTGACACCAAGAAGCGGTCACTGATCAATGAGGTGTGGCTTGTCCTGAGCTGTCTGCAGCTCCCCCACAGGCCCAGAGATGTGCCCCTCACTGAACAGGTGGGGACACGAGGCTCGGGGAGGGGAACCAGTTGACCCGCGGTCACCCTGCAGAGGCAGAGGCAGGGCAGAACCTCGGACCCTGTTGTCCAGCCCGGGCCTCAGCTGTCTTAGCCAGGACGCTAGAGTGGCTCTGGGGGAGGAGGCACATGTCAGGCGGTACCTCCGCCATCTGTCCTGGGAGCTGCAGCTCCGCCCTCTGAACTCACACGAGATAGAGAACCGGGGAAGAAGCAGCTTTGACCGGTGTCTCTTAAAGGGCTCTCTCAGCCTGAGCTGCAACCCGGGCCCTTCGCCCCACACACCGGCCCAGTTTAAATCTCTAGCCTGAGGCCTGTCATCTGTCTTCCGTGATTCCGTCTTTGCGCAGTTACCTCTCCAGCTCTTCCCCATTCTGGCCTGGGCCTCTGGTCCGCTCTCCCGGCCTCACTCCCAGAGCACCCCCCCCCCCATGCAGGCCAGAATGCAGACTAACAGCTGACCGAGGGGGCGGGCAGTGGTCTGTCTGCGACCCAGGCGTCTTGTGCCTAAAGGGCCCCCTGGGGGCGGGGGGCGGGGTGTGGGCTCACTCTCTAGGCCGGCAGGCTGACCCTGGCTGGAGACCTGTACCCAATCCTGTATGAAACCCCCAGTTTGACTTGGTGTGTGGCAAGGAACAGAACTCGGAAAGCGTGCAGACCATACTCACGGCGGGCCTCCTCATAGGGTCTCTCCTCTTCGGGCTCATAAGTGACAAGTGAGTGTCCCGGGTTCCCTCGAGTTCCTGGAAGCCCCTGCCTCTGCCCCATGGGCATCCAGAGCCAGCGTCTAAGCTGGGGAAGGTGAGGGTAGGGGCACTCCGGAGGCCTACGACGGCTCAGGCCCCGGCCCCGGGGTGTCGGCCGGGCCAGCCAGGGAGGTGCGTGCTTGGCGCAGCCTCCTTCTGACGGCCCCGCAGGCTGGGCCGCTGCCCCACCCTCCTGGTGTCGCTGCTGGGGCTGATGGTCTTCGGCTTCGGGACGGCCTTCGTCAACACCTTTAACCAGTACCTGTTCTTCCGCTTCGGCGTGTCCCAGGCCCTGGTGGGCTACACCATCAGCAGCGTGTCTTTAGGTGAGGCCCAGCCCTGGGGGTGTTGTGAGGGGTGGCGGGGAGGGGGGAGGCTGGTGGGGAACAGGGGGCGGGGCCTGGAAGGGGCCGGGCCCTTCGTGGGGATGGGGCTGGCTGGCACTCACTGGGACCCCACAGGACTAAGAGTTGAGGCCCAGTGGAGGCGGGCAGTGCACGGAGGACGTTCTGCTCCCAGATGCTTAGAGGCGCCGGACAACGTGCTCAGACTGCCCCTCCACCCTCATCCCCCCGCCTCATACCGCACACATTCCCGCCTTGGATCTCTTGCGTCCCCCCATGGGGCTTACATTTATTGAGCCCTTCAGAAGGACCAGGCAAGCTCCGAAACCCTTTACCTCCTGTCTCACTTCATCACGACAGCATCTTATTCCGTAGGCGCTCATCCGTCCCTTTAGCCGGGAAGGATGCTTGAGCCGCAGGAAGTTAACCACCCTGCTCAGGACCACACGCCAGTTACATGAAGGGGCTGGGGTTTCGTCCCGGACCTGTGGGATGCCAAAGCCCTCAGTGCCCGCACACGCATTCAGCTTACAGCTGCCGCGGCCTAGGGAGCTAGGGGTCCCCGACGGGAGACCTCTTCTCCCCGGGGCTTGTCAGAAGGAACTGGCTTCTCCCCAGGGCCCAGGGCCTAGGTGGCCAGAGCCCCGAGGGACTAAAAACAAACAAGGACACAGATCCCTCGCCTCACCACGTGTCAGGCCACGCATGAGGAGTTGTACCCAGAGCTGGGCCATCTCTGAGAGACACCAGTGGTCAGGCACGATGTGTTCAGGGGGAGCAGTCAGGCTGAGGAAGGACTGGAGGCTTTCTAGTACTTTCTAGTACTGTCCACCTCAGGCAGAAGGTCGTTCGCCCAGGTGGAACCGTCCAGAGCAGGGCTGCGGCACCTCAGAAGGCTGGGTACAGGGGTAGCCCTGGGGACACGGAGCTGACCAGGCTTTTGTCTTCTTGGCCTTTGCACAGCCACCGAGTGGCTACTGACGGAGCACCGGGCCCATGCCGTCATCCTGGAGCACTGCTTTTTCTCCGTGGGAGTCTTGTTGCTGACAGGGCTCGCCTACAGCCTCCCCCACTGGCGGCTGCTGTTTCTGCTGGGCGGGGCCCCTGCGTTCCCCCTCATCTCCTACATCTGGTGAGCACGCAGGGCATGCGCAGGGATGCATCCGATGGGCTGGCAGTTGAGGGGTTCCGAGGGCCCCGGAAGGGTGGAGTGGGTGGGAGAAATGGATGTGGCTGAAGTGAGAAAGAGCCCAGGGCAGAGCCTCTGGAGCCCTGGCACTAATTCCCCTCAGAGGAGACCCTCGAAGAGAAGTCAGAGAAGTAGACAAAGCAGAAGGCGAAGTGTTGGGAGGCAGGAGCTCAGGACAAGAGAATGGTCAAGGTTGAAGGCAAGAAAGGTGATGCTGGGGAAGAGTCTACTGGCCTTGGGGACCTTGCGGTGGCCTCAGTGAAGTGGCAGGGGGTCGAGGGAATAAAGAGAGGCTGAAGACTGGAGCCCCCACGAGATGACTGGAGCGCGGTGCCCGGCTGCGGTGGGTGCGCAGCAGAGCCGGGGTCAGGGAGGGCACGTGATGTTCTGACTTGTGGGGCGTCACCGACAGGAACCCGAGGGACCGAAGCTAGGAAGGGACAAATGATTGGGGAGGGAGGGAAGAGAAGGCAGGGAGGATGAGGCTGAAATCACCTGGTGAAGGGTCAAGTTCAACGTGAAGGAAGGATTAGGTTTCACCTTGGAGTCATGTTTAATCTTTACAACCCTGAAAGATGGGTGTGAGTCTCAGGTCTCGGGGGCTGAAGAGATGGGGGTGAGGGGAGAACTGAGGCTTCAGGGGATGGAAGTCACTTGCCCAAGGCCACAAAGTGGCAGGACCTGGGATTGGACTCAGCCCGCGTGGCTCCAGAGCCTCTCCATTTCACCCAGTGCGCCACACACAACATGGGTGGTGAGAGGTGGAGTTACCAGTTAAGAGCGAGGCCATGTAGGTGGCTTGGAGACCTTCCAAATTCGGCAGGTGCTAGAGACCATCTTTGGCAGTGGCCGGGACTCCCAAGTGTGTGTGGGGACCCAGCTGATGCCAGGTGGCGTGACTCTGTCGCGTAGCTAGGAAATAGTGTTTCATGGCTAGACCCTGAAACATTGTTTTAAAATGTCATTAACGCAGTAGAGGCAGGTGGTTAATGACTAAGTCACAACCAAAAGGTTTGTGGTGAAAAATAACGGGCGCCTGGGTGGCTCAGTCAGTTAAGCGTCCGACTTTGGCTCAGGTCGTGATCGAGCCCTGTGTCGGGCTCTGTGCTGACAGCTCAGAGCCTGGAGCCTGTTTCAGATTCTGTGTCCTCTCTCTCTGCCCCTCCCCCACTCTCTCTCTCTCTCTCTCAAAAATGAAAAACTGTTTAAAAAAAGAAAAGTCAGTCCACAGTTTCAGTCCCCTCAGCCGCCGCTCCTTCCCCAGAAGCCATCACCCTGGACTCGTAGCTCTTTCTTCGGGTGGACGCCTCCCTAGTTCTGTATTCTGTGAGTAGGTGGCTCGTTGCAGGGGGTCCGGTTTTCTTCAGACGCCACCTTGTCAGCTGCTGCTTTGCTGACACTTGACGTTATCGTGGTCAGTTTCCATCTCTTTACAGTCATTCTTAGTCGGAAGAAAAAGTCTCATTTTGATCATTCAGACTCACTTTCAGGCATGAAAAAAATCCAATCCGGTCCAATTTAAAACCTGATCTTGCATCCAGTTCGCGGCTTCTCCCTGGCGGCTAGCTAGCTCAGGCTAGTATTCCGTCTGAGCTGGGCCCGTCTGGCTACCTGCTCTGGGACCTCAGGTCCTAGGCAGGGGATGGGCCATCGGAGAAAGATCAGTGCACACCAGGGCTGCATCGATGCTCGTTGTCATCTGTAGGGCAGATGCTCAACGGCAGGGGCCTCGGGGCCCGTGTGTGGGTCTCCCGGGCTCTGTCTTCCAACGCTCTAGCACAGTCCCTGTGATCTCTCCGCACCCCGTCCCTGGCGGTGCTCTCCACAGCCTCTCCCTGCAGGGGTCTCCTCACCCTGGTACGCGGGGTGACTTCAAGACAGCAGGGTCCGCCTCGCCGCAGAGATTCTCACGCTCAGGCGCAGGGGCGTCCGCCAGCTCCGGTGTTGTGCGGGCCCTCCACCTGTGGGGACGTGGACTAACTCTCCTGTCAGTGGCTGTCTGGGGTCCAGGGCAGCTCCTGCTTTCCTGAACCAGTAAGCCCCGGGCAGGGAGCGGGCGCGTAGACTCCCTTTCTGAAAAGCGGCCCCTTCACCAGGCTCGACCAGATGAGAGCGGCCACCAAGAAGTGGGAGTTTCCAGCCCCCCACAGCAGCCGGCAGATGGCTGCGGCGCTGTTTTCTATTCTGTTAGTATTACTGTCGTCATTTTTTCTGGAAGTCCTATCCTGAAGGTGGCAGCGCCTCTCTATAGAAGGTGAGGTGACCTGCCATTGTAGCAGCCTCGGGACAGCAGCTGAAATTCCAGGACAAACGTTTTCCCTGTCACGTTGGGTCACATTGCTCTCCTTACTCTCTGATTGTTTAATTAAAACACACTTTTTAAAATTTTTATTTATTTTTTAATTTTTTACATTTATTTATTTTTGAGAGACAGAGAGAGACAGAGCACAAGCAGGGGAGGGGCAGAGAACGAATGAGACACAGAATCCGAAGCAGCTCCAGGCTCTGAGCTGTCAGCACAGAGCCCGACGCAGGGCTCGAGCCCACGAACCGCGAGATCATGACCTGAGCCGAAGTCGGGCGCTCAACTGACTGAGCCCCCAGGCGCCCCTGATTTTTTAAAATTTTCTCAATAGCATTCAAAACTTGCATTATGAAAATGCAATTGTAAAACAGTCTCAAATGTTTTTGGGGATACAAATTAGAGTTTTCTTTTTTTTCCCCCTCCTGCTCCCGACATTACCTGTGTCCTCTGGGCTAATTATTTTTTCCTGCTCGATTATTTTGGCCCCTGTTTCAATGGGAGGGTTTTTTTCCCTTCAGTATTTAGCGGGTTTTGGCCATCCCTTCATCTTTAATAGCAAGTTACTACAAAGCTAAAGAGGCTGTGAACAGAAACTGATTGACTTGGATCTCAAATTTCGACGAGCCTCAGAGTCGGTCACATGGGTGGGGCCGCGCGGGGTGGGGGTGCTTGTTAAATATCAGCGACTGGTCACTGCCCTCAGCAGGACTGGGGTGGGGCCCGAGAATCTGCATTTCTAGCAAGTTCCCAGGTGACGCTGACGGTGCTGGTCTGCTGACCACACTGAGAACCACTACTACTGGGTGACCAAATGGCAGTGCCTTTTCAGTGAGGGGTCCTCGCGCCAGGTAGCTGCCCGGCTGCCCCCTGGTGGCTCTGGGAGCAGGGATTCTTGTCACCGTCACTGGGACTTCCCCTCGGTTCCCCTGTGTTAGTCCTCAGCCTCCCTGTGCCGGGGGGCGGGGGGGCAAACTACAGAGGGAACCGGAGTCCCCTGTCTGAGGACTGGGGTGTTCAGGGCCCCTCGCTCCGTGCCGCGCCTGCCGTGTGGCCACCAGCCTGCCTGCAGAGCAAGCTCTGTGTGTTCAAGTCTTCCTTGCACCCGTCTTCTCTCCCACTCCCTTTACTGGTATCTCTCTTCATTCCTGTGGTTTCGGGGTGGCATGTGACCAGTCTCCCACCTTTCTGAAGATGTCCTGGTCGGGTGACTTTCTTTAGGAGAGGTCCCTGGCCTCATCGTGGAGGAGGATGTCGGGACGTCGGCTGGCCCCAGGGGAGGGCAGGGCAGGCAGCAGGAAGGCAGCCCCCTCCAGTGTCGCGGGCACATGTGTACACTGCTGGCCGGAGCTCAGGCGAGGGCCCTGGGGGGAGGGTGATTCAGGATCTGCATGGAGGTCGGCACAGTTGGAAAGGCGCCTAATCGGGGCCCTGAGAGCCATACCAGCTCTGCCTTTGTGACCTTGGGCATGTCCTTACCCCTGCGGCTGGGAATGAAATGAGGATAATCCAGCTAGGTCCAGGGTTGATCAGGGATAAACTGGATGATATTTAGGCAAGGGCGTCGGGCACAATCCCGGGCACATAGTAGGTGCTATAGTGTTCATCCGCGCAGACTCTGAGAGCCCCGGGGAGGATCGGGAACCGAGGGCCCGAGTTATGCAGGGGTCAAAGGCAGTGGGCAGCGCGGTGAGGGAGGAGGTGGGGGCAGAGGGGACTGCCCTCGCTGGGGCCGGGGCTGGGCCGGGGTCCTGCCCTGCATGCTCTGCAGGCTGCCAGGAGGTAGGAGGGCCGCCAGAGAGTGGGGCTCTAATAAGGGGGGGACGTGGGGGCGGGGCCCTCAGCGCCCCTGGGCAGGTGGGGCTGATGCCGGAGACACCGGCAGGGGGCTTGTGGAGATAGCAGAACAGGAGCAGCCGGGGGCCGGGCGGGGGGGGGGG